CCCCAAAACCCCAAAACCCCAAAACCCCAAAACCCCTTTAACTCAATATTTTCCTGAAAATTATAATTTAAAATTCATTAATCTTTTTTAGAGTTCAGATTTTTCCGAAATATGAGAAAATCTTGCATTGAAGATCCTGGAGGACAATAACCTGAGTTCTCTGAACTGCCATGTGACTGTTCTTCTGCAGAATCCTGGTTTTGAGAACAATCTGTCTTAGTCTCCTCCTCATCAATTACTGTGATAACTGAGGGAGAAGGTAAGGCATGCTTACGAGATTTACGAGGATATTCACGGATTTCCTCGACTCTTGACGTGGTAGAGGAGGATTCTGTTTCTGTTAAATCAATATGTTGTCTGTAGCTTCTAGCAAGCCTTCTTTTCAATGCTGCCTCCTTTTTCTTTATATAATCACTAGGGTTATGGAAGTCGAAACAAGGAGATACTATGTGTTTTGGTAATACCTGGTTTTGGAATCAGTAGTGAATAACATTTCGAAATTCCTTTTCTCCCATTTCAGTGTAGTATCAGTTGAAATCAAGTCTGTACATACTCAGGTAATTTGGATACTTTATCTTGCTTAGAAAAATCATGAATAATTCAATTTCCTGATGGTCATTAAATGTTAAATCTAGGTTGAGAAACATGTATCTATCTTCATTAAGAAGGAACTTCATTTCTTTTCCGGTAAAACAGGGTTCAATAAACCAGGTTCTAATCCTTTGTCAAAAGTTCATTGCTACTTTCCGTGCTATTTTTGTGGTCCAAAGTAATTGAGTAGGCTTAGAGAAAGAATTCATAAGCACTCAAGCTTCGAAAAAGGTACCGTAATAAGTGAGTATTCGCAAAATTCAAGGAGAAAGAAGCAAAATCTTTTCTTGCCCTCTTTTATCTTTATTTATTGTCTTCTTCTTATTGAGATCGATTATCAGGGGAATATCAGCTTCTGGATTGGCAGGAGTATCAATAATTCTAAGTTCTCTCTCTTCACTATTATCAGAGGATTTCATATGGTTAAATTAAGCCTTAATTTAGATTTCAACGTAAAAAATCAAATTATTAGAATTTCCTTCAAAAAAATCCCATTTCAATACATCTCAATCAAATGGGGTTTTGGGGTTTTGGGGTTTTGGGGTTTTGGGG